TGTCGGCCCCACGCGCGCATGGGACGGACACTGCGTGTCAGTGGGCCGAGATCGCCTTCGTCGTGTGGGCGGGTGGGGTCACCTCGCCGAGCCCCGCTGGCCCCTGAGACCCGGGCAGGGCCCTGCGCCCGTAGGAGTGCTCCCGACGCCACAACCTAAATAAACGCGGGTTGTGTTTATTTAACCCTCCTCACTGCATACTCACAGGAAGAGAGCGTGGGGAGGAAAAAGCACCGTTGGCTGCAGATTCGGCAGAGCCTTTCGCTGCACTCAGCCTCCCCGGGGGGTGGGGGGACACGCAGCCCCTCAGGCGAGAGAGAGTGCCCGCCACCCCGCCCGCGGTGACGGGCGAGAGACGGCTGACGGGCGTCAGCTCTAAAGGATCCTGAGACAGAAGTAGGCCCAAGAAACGCACACGTCCCAGTGCAAAGCTCGCACGCACGCACGGGCCGGGACGTCCCCACGTCCACACGCTGCGGGCCGGTGGCTGGCAGAAGGGATCAGACCAGGCGTCGCCTCCCAAATCTGAGCCGATCATCAGACAGAGCCCGGTCTCCATCGATCGGGGTCATCCACGAGCACGCACATGTGCGTACGCACATGCACAATCACAGACACACAAACATGCACGGTAACATGCATGCACACACGTGAACACACATGGGTGTTCGGTGGCAGTAAAGCAGGTCCTGTCTCTCAGCCTCTCTGCGTCCCAGCGCCTTCCAGACAAAGCGGAGGGAGCCGGTGTCCGCATGGTGCCGCGTGTCCGCGTGTGCCGGCGTCCGTGTGTGCCGGTGTCTGCTTGTGCCGACAGGGCCGGGGAGCATGCACAGGGCGGGGGTGGCGCGTCACCTTGGGCTCTTGAGGTCAGCGGCATGGATCAAGTGTTCAGGGTGGTCAGGCCCCGCCCTTGCTCCCGACGTGGGACGATCAGCGGAGCTCTACTAGGTTGTCCCCGTGCCTGGCTTGGTGGTTGGAGCTGAGGCGTCTGGGCAGAGTTCGCCATCCGAGGTGGGACACGGGGACCCGCCATCTCGGGGACCCATCGGTAAGGGACAGGGGACCCGCTGCCTGGGCAGAGTTGTCTGGGAGGCACTGGGGACCTGCCCCGTCTCACCAGGTTCAACCCCACAGACATCGATTCTGGAGGAGACGTTGCAGTGCGAGGCATTTTCTGACCCCGCGGTGACCTCCTGGAGGACCCCTGACAGTGCGACCTTTTTCCCTCGCTCGTGTCCATGACTCAGGGTCAGCGTCTGGCCCTGCGGGATGCTTTTGTCTGGGCGGACGCTGGGACGAGGTGTCCACTCCCAGCCCCACTGCCCAGTGGCCTCAGCGTGACAGCGTTCTTTGCTCTTTTCCTACGTCCGGACATGAATCCGTATTTTCTTAAAGGACAGAAAGGAGCAAAGGCCATGAGGGACCCTCCCACACTGCAAAGGACTGAGGTATTTTCATGCCCGTCGAGAAGGGACCTGTGTCACTCCAGTCTCAGCTGCTGGGGTGAGCGGGCAACGTGCGTGTCGCCTGCGGCAGCTGGGCACCCAGCAGGAGTGAGAGGCGGTATGTTTGTGGCCAGATGGGCAGTCGCTCCTCCAGCTGGGTACAAGGGTCAGGGCAGAAGGCCAGAGGTCAAGTCTAAAGTAAAGGAAGTGAGGAGGCCTGTGCTGGACGCTTTCGAACCGGAACCAAGCAGGCAGGACGAGCCCAGGGCCCAGGCTCCCTCCGTCCTCCTGGACTGGCCGGTGCCCAGTTTGCCTTTTTCTTTTGTAAGCAGCGGGGCTGCCCCGGTCCAGAGACCCTTCTTCTCGAGAGCGGCTCATGGGATGGGTGTGAGGTGCCGTCCGGCCAGGGCCCCGCTCACAAGGGCCCAGCTTAGCACAGGTGGGCATCCTCTCGAGCTCAGGCCCGTGTCAGGCTCGTCTGCGGGGTCCAGGGGTCCGTCTCCCCACAGCCCGAGCGTCGGGGCGTCGGGCACGAGGCCTGCGGACGCCTGGGCAGCGGTCTGACTCGGGGCAGGCCTCCTGACTCCGGCCGGCTCCCGTCTGAGGGGCTCCCTGGAGGGGCTTCACCCCGCCCCCCGAGGCAGCTCCGCCCAGCACTCCGCTGCCCCCCGAGCCCTAGATTGTCCCATGCTCCCGCTGGACTTAGATGCTGTCGCGTTCAAGGCACTCGAGTGTGCCAGGATGGGAGCCCAAGGCCACACGCAGCCTTCGCCACGTCCCCAGGTGCTCTGTGAGGGACGGAGGGGACTAGGAGAGAGGTGAGCACCGGCAAAGGGTCCACACATGGCCCGAAGGCGGCACGGGCGGCGCCGGTCGGCCTTCTTCCCAGAGGGATGGGCCGGCTTCGAGATTGGGTGTGGCCGACGGCCGTCGGGACGTGGGCGCTCATCACGTGGCATGACCGTGCGCGCCTCCGTGTGCTGTTTGAGACTGACTTGGTGACGTCCTTGGCAGCGGGATGTAGGGCCCATTCCTCGGTTCTGTGGTGTGGGGTTTCTGTGTCTGGCCGAGCAGGCTCTGTCTTCCCCCCAGAACTCACGCGTTTGGGAGCCCCACAAATATGGTCAGGGGTGCGGGGGGCTGTGCGGCCTCAGGGTGCCCGGCTGGCTTCCGTGCTTCCTCGAGGCCCTCCTCGGGACCGTTGGGCGAAGGGTGACAAACGCCGAGTCAGTCCGTGGCACGACACGAGAGAGGCAGAAATGGGGTATTTTGTAGTTAAATGCTAAGTATTAAGGAGCCAGGTTGCTGAAGGGGCTGAAGAATTCATCTTTTCAGGGTTTACTGGTGAGAAAACGCAGGCCCGGGGGTCCGCCCACACCCGCAGAGGAGGTGGGCTTCGAACTCTGGTCAGCCCCGCAGCCTGGAGCTGGTGTGACAGCGGCCACCCCTGTGAGCCGGCCAGGCGTGGCCCCGCCCACAGAAGGGGCGGAGCCACTGCCCGACTGCGCCGGATGGC